CTAAGGCCCACTTGACTTCACATTCCAGGATGTCTGGCTCTAGGTGAGTGATCACACCATTGTGATTATCTGGGTCATGAAGATCTTTTTTGTACAGTTTTTCTGTGTATTCTTGCCACCTCTTCTTAATATCTTCTGCTTCTGTTAGGTGCCTACCATTTCTGTCCTTTATTGAACCCATCTTTGCATAAAATGTTCCCATGGTATTTCTAATTTTCTTGAGGAGATCTCTAGTCTTTCCCATTCTATTGTTTTCCTCTATTTCTCTGCATTCCAATGGGTATATCTTTCCTTTTCTCCTTTGCCTTGAGCTTCTCTTCTTTTCTCAGCTATTTATAAGGACTCCTCAGACAACCATTTTGCCTTTTTGCATTTCTTTTTCTTGGGGATGGCCTTGATCAGTGCGTCCTATACAGTGTCATGAACCTCTGTCCATAGTTCTTCAGGCACTCTGTCTATCAGATCTAATCCCTTGAATCTATTTGTCACTTCCACGGTATAGTCATAGGGGATTTGATTCAGGTCATACCTGAATGGTCTAATGGTTTTCCCTACTTTCTTCAATTTAAGTGTTAATTTGGCAATAAGGAGTTCTTGACCTGAGCCACAGTCAGCTCCCGGTCTTGTTTTTGCTGACTGTATAGAATTTCTCCACCTCTGGCTACAAGGAATATAATCAATTCGATTTCAGTATTGACCATCTGGTGATGTCCATGTGTAGAGTCATGTCTTGTGTTGTTGGAAGAGGGTGTTTGAGAAAGGTTGCATTCCCTTATCAATAAGTAAGTGTCCCATAAATTCCCCAAAACTGTCAATTGTAAAAGTCTTTGCCTACTTCACAGGTCAGATTTTGAAAAATCATAGGTTTAGTCCAGGGTTCTTTAATTGTTGCTGAAGTCGTTGCTTCTTGCTGTAAGGATCCAGCTTACGTAATGATGGGTTAGTGACGAGTCTTCTCTTACTGCGTTGCCCTGTGGGAAGTAGTTAAGGCCACCTACAATTTCTATAAGACAAAGCCATTCTAACACCGAGATATAAGCTGCTGAGCTTGACGTGCCTTCGTCCATTTCAGGTGGCCATGGAGAATGCCGAAGGTGCCGGCCAGCATGTGCCCGAGCAGAGCGCGCCCGCCCAGGGGCCAGCCCAGAGCATCGCTCCACAGGGGCCTCAGGGAGACCCGGGCCAGCTTCTTTACCACGAGGAGACCATCGATCTCGGTGGAGACGAGTTCGAATCCGAGGACTCGAATAATTTCGCAGATAAACTCGATGAGCCCCTGATGGAGAGCGTACTCATCTCCGACTCCCCAAACAACAGCGAAGATGACGCGGGTGACCTGGGGTGTCTGCAGGACGTGGGGGAGCCCACCGAGGGCAGTGACGATCACAGACTGGGACCCTGCGCAGAAGAGGGCACGCTGGGCTCTCTGAGTGACGGCGGTGAGAGTGATGGCGGGGACACGCCTCAGGACATCTCAGACATGACCCCTGATAGCAGAGCGTCATTGAAAGAGGACCCCGAGCGTGGCAACGTGGAAGACCCGCCTGCTTCTGAACACAGGGGCGCAGAGGACCTGGGTCCAGGGGCTGAGCGGGTGCCCGTGGCAGGGCCGCCGTCAGGAGCATCCCCCCGGCAGCCAGCCCCCAAGGACGAGCCGGTGCCCGTGTGCACCATCTTTAGCCAGCCGCCCCCCGGCGCCCCCACCCCAGCCCTGCGTGACGGCTTCGAGTCCCAGATGGTGAAGTCCCCCAGCTTCAGCGGCGCCAGCGAGGCTGCCCCCAGGACCCCGCCACAGGCGGTCCAGCCGAGCCCCAGCCTCAGCAAGTTCTTCGGCGATCCAACCGGCAGCAGCTCCTTGGCCTCGGACTTCTTTGATTCCTTCACAACCTCCACCTTCATCTCCGTCAGTAACCCCAACGCCAGCCCTTCCCTTCCGGAAAGCCTGTCTTCGCTCGCTGCTACCCCCGTGGGAGGAAGCTCCCCGGGTTCCGTGGACGCTGCCTCCTCCCCAGGGGTGGAGAGGCCAGGGTCGGGTGTCTCCACGGCGCCTCTGGAGATCTCGCAGTCCCCAAAGCCGTTCTCACAGATCCAGGCGGTGTTTGCCGGCAGCGAGGACCCGTTTGCCACCGCCCTGAGCATGAGCGAGATGGACCGGCGAAGCGACGCCTGGATCCCCGGGGAGGCGACCAGGAGCGTCCTGGTCTCGGTCGCCACACAGCAGTACGGCTCGGTGTTCGTGGACAAGGAAGACCTCACCATGCCCGGCCTCAAGTTCGACAACATCCAGGTGAGGGCGCAGGGCCCCCAGCGCGCCTGAGGGCCGGTGGGTGCGCTCAGCGGGCGGGAGCGTCCCCAGCCACGTCTCCTCGCTTCTCCCCATCTCTGTTCCGTGTATGTTCACATGGAAAAGGCCTGTCGAGCTTTGAAAAACCCTGATTTTTTCCAGCAGGTCCCAAGATTCTGATCATGAGAGTGTTTGCTCTGATGTCACTAGGTAGTTTGGAACCCTGTTGATTTCTCTGAACGAAGGTCTTTAAGGTGCTAATCAGAGTCTTAGAAATAGTTACTAGCAAGGGAGCTGCATGACAGCTCTCTGGAGAAGTTGTAAACTGTGTGATCAGTTTATTATGACAGCTGAGCTCCTACAGATGATAAATCCCCTTTCCTCTCCTTTTAGATGTGGAAAAGTGTGTTTGTGTTACACGCAATGTGCTTTATGTGGAAAGAGTTGTTACAGATTTGGTAAATAAAAAAAAAACAGATGGTCTCTCAATAGATCACAAGATATATAAATGTGTAATCATAAATAAATACTATGTATTGTAAATAACAACATTAAAAAGTTTGATCTTACCAGTCATCAAAGAAGGTAAAGTTATTTTCACTTTCTCATCTGACTTATAATTATTCCGTGTCTATTAAAATGCGAGGAAATAGCCAGCTTAGGCAGCCCTGAAGGGACTGATAATTTAGCACAAACTTTCTTAAGTTTTAAAATGCACGTCCAAATGTGCGTATGCTTTGACCCAGAAATCCCACCCTGAGTAGTTATTTATGAGGAAAGAATCTCACTGGTGTATGAATAGCCAGCTTTCAGGACGCCCATCAGAGCGAGGTTTATAATTGGAAAGAATCTGAAAGCATCTGGGAGTCCATTGTTGGGAGGCTAGTTGAATACATTCACCACATCTCGTCTTTTCAGTGGAATATGTACACATTCGACTGAAAAGATGATGTTATGGCTTCTTCGGTGGCACTATTGCTAAGAACCTGCCTGCCAATGAAGGAGACATAGGTAAGGTTCGATCCCTGGGTCGAGAAGATTCCCTGGAGAAGGGCATGGCAGCCCACTCCAGTATTCTTGCCTGGGAAATCCCACGGACAGAGCAACCTGGTGGGGTATAATCCATGGGGTCGCAAAGAGTTGGACATGACTAGAGCGACTTTGCACACATGCACGCACAAAAATAACGTTATATTCAAATAAGTATTTTTATTTATTGTGAAAAAATGAAGATGATGTTATAATAAAATATTTAATGAGACTCATAATTTGTTAAATTTGAAAGCCCAAATACAGTAAGGCACGTAGCATGCCTTACGTGGTACCCTTTCCGTGGGTGTGTGTGCACGTCCACCTGAGGTGAGCTCGGCTGTGTGTCGGGTGGGATCTGCAGGGTCTGTGCCTTGTGTCCCGCACTGTCCGCTCCGGGAACTGAAGGGTCCCCTCCCGGGGCAGGCGTTCCCTTTCCCCCACCGTGGCCAGGTCAGAAAGCCACTCGGAGTGGAGCCCCAGCCACATGAAGCCGATCCTGTGGAGAAGCCGCACAGCTTCTGGAGACGTGAGCTCGGCCTGCTGTCTCTCTGGGGAGCGTGAGTGAAAGTCTCTGAGTCTCTTTACAACCCCGTGGACTACACACTCCATGGAGTTCTCCAGGCCAGAATACTGGAGTGGGTAGCCTTTCCCTTTTCCAGGGGATCTTCCCAACCCGGGGATCAAACCAGGGTCCCCCACATTGCGGGCGGATTCTTTACCAGCTGAGCCGCAAGGGAAGCCCAAGAATATTGGCATGGGCAGCCTAGCCCTTCTCCAGCGGATCTTCCTGACCCAGGTCTCTGTGGGGCACTGACGTGAGAGGCCGCAGATGCGGACGTCCTGTGCGTGCTCTCTTCGGGGTGCCTGCTGACGAGACGCGTCTTCCTTGGGGGCTCGCCGCCCGCCAGCCGCTGTGCTGGGCGCCCTCCCCGCCCTCTCCAGCAGAACGCACTGGGAGTGAATTTGCCTTCCCGGGCCTCCTCAGTGAATCCCAGTTATGGGCTCGGATGTCAGGGGCGTTTGTCAGGATTGATGCCTTAACCCCGTGGCCCGCGGGGCGTCCCGGGCCCAGGGCTCCTCGGGTGCGTTTGGGGCTGCGCAGAGCTGCTTCCCTCGGGTCGCCTGAGGGTGGGCTGAGCGCAGTGCTCTCATGGGCCAGAGACACTGAACACCCTGCGACGCCCTTCAGTGCGGCAGGTCAGTCACTCCTGAGCTAAGAAACAGTGCTGATGCTTGCTGCTAGGTGAACCCAGACTGAATTGAGCATGGAGGCCATTTCTGCCAGTGAGAAGCAAGGGGTCTGTGACGGCCCCTCGGAGCTCTGACGCTTCCACGTGGCTGATCATGGAATAAGCAAGGCATTCCGGAGTTAGCCAGGGTCAGGCACCCGCTGCTGGGACAGGACCCACCCTGCGGCCAGGCAGGAGATGCTGTGTGTCCTTTCTTCTTCCTTTAAATCCTTAAGCGGTGTCTTCCATCCCTCTTGCAGTCCACAGTGATTGTTTTGGAAACCTCGTAAATTGAAATATGAATTCAGAATAGTTCCTGAAAGGCCTTTGACTTTCCCATGGAACCAACATGCCAGTTGGTTCTTCACCTGTGTCTCTTCAGTCGTGTATTATTCTTCAAAGAACTTTTCATAGGAAAGAAAAACTGTGTGGTTTACACCAGAAATGCTGTGTTTATTTTCCAGAGGACTTAGATCGGTCCAGCACGTGTGGTAACTTGCTGTGCACGCCAGCCTTTTAAGATGCCAGCCAGGCGTTTCTTGGATTTGCCTGTCCACACGTTCCTCCCCACGCCACTGTTACTGTTGCATCACTACATCAGCTTTCTAAAATACTTGGCAGTTTTTCCAGATTGCTCACCTATTGGCACCAAATTAAACATTCCTTCTTAAGGCATGAAATGTGGGCAGAGGGGAAGTGTTACATTGTTTCTTTGTGAAGTGACCTCCTAGAGCAGTGTGAGTTAAGGTGGAAGCCCGCTGAGCTTGTAACTCTTCATCCAACTGCAGAAGTTTCAAAAGAGGAGTGTCGGCACTTCTAACTGATTAGAGTCTGGGTGGCCTGTATTCTTGATGAACTGGATGGACAGTGGGGAGATGACTGTTCAGAAATGTTCAGAACCGGGAAAGGATGGAAGTTGGAGACTATCTGTATGAAGGTTGTTCAGTGAGCGGGAAGGGAAGGGGATGGGGATCCACAGACCAGAGTTGGCAGCAAGTCAGTGCTAACCGTGAGGGGTGACGGGACTGCGGGGCACCTCGGGGCGCTCTGGCCTCACAGGGGACTCTGCGAACCCGACATCCAGACCCAAGGCCAGGCCTCTCCTCCACCGGGGTCTGATTCTGCTCCCTGATCCCGCCCCCGGCCCCCACAGTGTGGATGTGACGGAAGTCCCACCATGAAGCAGGCAGGCGCCGGGCCCCTTTCCTGGTCGTGCCTGGGTGCTGTCCTTCCAGCCCTGCTGCCTGTGACCAGGCATCCCTGACGGTAGTGCTCACAGGCCGTGCCCGTGACTCAGCCGCTGTGTTTCACGTGGACGTCATCCACTAAAACTTCCAAGGCGCCGCTGAAGCCGTCTGCACACTGCAGGGGGGCCCGCCGCAGACTCCCGTTCGCGCGGTCTGCCTCAGCCCTGACCTGGGCGCACCGAGGGATTGCTGAGTGGAAGGGGTCTCTGGGGTTCTAGGTGGGTCCCCCCCCAGGTGCAGGGAGATAGCTCTCTAAACATCCCAGGGAGGAGGCCACTCCCCTCACTCCGGTGACCGTGGAGGGTCCGCAGCCAAGGCACCAGGACCCCCGTATCAGAACCGCCCCGGCCGAGCAACGCGGCAGGAACCAGTCCATGTCGGGACGTTTTGTCGTGTCTGTGGGCTTTCAGGGTGAGTGCTGGTCAGCCCCACGGTGCTCCTGTCTCGAGCATCCTGTGCTAATTAACTGGCAGAATCGAGAGGGCAGGAGGCGTCTGCAGTGTGGGCTCACTGCCGAGGGTGCTGCACGGTCAGAGGACTCACAGTGCTCCTCCCTGCTCCGCGGCTTTAGGGGTGAGTTCGCCTTTCCCTGGTTCGCAGGCCCTCTGCTCGGATACAGCTCTTTGTCTGCCCGGAGGCGCCTGTGTGCAGAGCTTTGTGGGGCTGGCTGCCCGCGCTCTCCTTGTTCCGCCCTCTGATTATCCTCCTGGATCAGTTAGCCCCTTGCGGGGCCTGGCACTTGAGCTATTTCCCCTTATTCTCTGGAAGCAGGAACTGTAACCCTGCTGCCTCCAGGCCTTTGCCCCCGCGTGAGGAGGAGGTGCAGCATGGCCTCTGAGCTCAGGCTCAGGGCCCGGGACCCCTGCTGCCAGGCTGTGCCCTGCCCTCCTTCAGCAGCAGGAGGCAGCCTTGCTGCGTGCCCAGCCCCTGCCGACCGTGCGGGCAGTCACGGGAGAGGAGGCTTGCCTCTGCGGCACCGCGCGCCTGCTTCCCCGGCATGGCGCGAAGGAGCCGGGCGGCCCTGGGCAGGCGCGAGCTGCGGGCTGCCCTCCGTCACCCTGTGTCGGCGGTCTGTCCCCACCCCTCCCCGGGCACTGGGCCACGGATGGCCACTCCCTCCTGGCCTCACCCGGGCGCAGGCGGGGCTAACCCGGGGCTGGGCCGAGCGCCCCCTGTGCAGAGTCGGGCGCAGCTGCCCCCGACAGACGGCCCTCCTTGGGCTGGGGTGACGCGGCCCCTGGGGGAGGCCATGCCCGGGCCGCCGTTCACTGCTGTGGCTGAGCCCTGGGGACCCCCGGAGGCCCGGGCCAGGGGCCTGCGGGGTGGGCTGTGGGCAGAGGGCTCAGGCCTGCCCGCCCAGCCTGGGCCCCGCCGTGCACCGTGCTCCTCCCAGGGGCGGCATCGCCTCGAGCCCCGGCCCCCTCCAACGCAGCACAGCCACTGCTGACTCACCACCTCCTCTCCGGGAGAAACAGCCGCTCTGAACTCCGCGTCTTACCAGCGATCGGGGTGCTAGAGCTTCTGGCTGTTTGCAGCTCAGCTGTACCACAACCGCATTTTAGCCTCCATACACCAGTGGGAGAAGAAAAGAAATTTCGGTTAGCTGTGAGTTTCGGTTAACTGAGTTTAATTAACATCCTATTGTCCTGACATATTTCTCTTATATTCTGTCCAGGGAGATGCAGTTAAGGACTTAATGCTTCGCTTCCTGGGTGAAAAAGCAGCGGCAAAGAGACAGGTGCTGACCGCCAGCTCCGTGGAACAGTCTTTGGTTGGACTGAAGCAGCTCATCGTAAGTCACGGTGCATTTGATGTTCCGTGTAAGTTCTTCCTCCCTTTGTAGTATTTTCCTGAGGGCCAGTCCCTTTGAGCGTTTTATGCTCAGCCCTTGCACAGAAATGGAGTCCCTTGCACAGAAATGGAGTTGCATTGGATCCGATAACCACTCCTAATCAACGGAGAGCATCACATATAACATGTGAATGATTTGAGACGGTATATACTTTGATTAAATATGCTTCATCAAAATAACTAGAGTGAAGTGATCGTACGTTGACTTTCTGAAAGAACTCTGTTTTCTGCACTTGCTGTAGAAGGCTTATTACTAAATTAGCAGACTCCCCAGAAGCGCACACAAAAGCCTTTCTTTGTCCGTTAACAAGAGTGAGTGCAGACGCCGGGGCTGAGCCGCGGTCACGAAGCAGAGGGGGAGACTGACTGCAGGCACCCTGACCTGGGCGGGCGGCGCTCCCGGGGGCCTGTGGGCCGCTGGAAACCGTCTGCCCCACAGCGTCTCTCATAGGCTACGAAAGTGCAAGTGAACACTTGCTTAGGTGGGTTGCTGACATTTTCACACTGAAATTTAGTGGTTTTCTTTAGTAAATGTAGATCACATGTTTCATTGGGTTTCTTTCATTGAAGTGATTCTAGAATTCTTCCCATGAATGAGAAGCTTTGGGAAGGAAAGGTGAGGAGATACTCAGTTTTTAAAAAGGAGAGAGGAGAGCACGTCTGTGAGTGTCTGTGAGTCTGTCTGCACCAACATGCGTCCATGGAGTCGCACGTGTGGGCACTGACGGCGTGCACGGCTGCGTGCGTCTGGTGGAATGACCCTCTGCCTTGGGGGGCGACCGCCGTCGTTCCATTTCCATGGCCTTGAAAACCTGCCATGCGGCAGCGTCACAAGCAGGGGGCTGTATTTGAAGCGTGACTTGTAACTGTGAGCTCGGAGGGGACACACAAAGCCACGCACAGACGTGGTCATTAATCCTCAGGCCAACTTGTTACGTCTTTTTATTATTCTTGGTGTCAAGTATATGTGGTTTGGTTTGATTTTTTCTCCTACATTGAAAATACTTGAGGCCAGTAAAAATTATATTAACAGTGCTAGCAAGGAGACCTGTTTAAGGTGGGAAATGTACTCAGGAAAGCCCATTACCTAGCCCTAGTATTTTAATTACGTCCTAAAATAATCACACTCATCTTTAAGACTAGGAAAGTTTCTCAGCACGTTGTCCTAAGTAATGTCACTGTTCCAAGATTGCCATTTACGGGGAAATGAATGTCGCCGCCCATGGAAAGGGACGTTTTAACCACGTCCCTGGTGTCACATGTACCACTGATGATTGCCTTTGAGTCGCCGGCGGGAACAGTTATGTACATACTGTTAGTTACTTGAGTGATTCTTATTGGACTGGCTTTCTCCTCTTCTGGAAGTTGGGGAATGTTCAGCTATGTTCAGTTTCTCAAACAGAGTCTCTATCTTATTTCCTAGTTTTAAAAAAACAATGTTTTGAAATTTAGATCTTTTTTCTCATATATAACTACCTTTGATATCAGAGTTCTGCATGTCATATACAGTAATGAAGAGATTTTCATAAGGTTTTCTTCACAGTGCTTAAAGATTACAATGGTATATTTAAATTCTAGCTTTGAAAAACAGTTTTTTCACCAAATATTTCTGACATCTCAGAATGAAAGTGGAGGTGGGCCACCGGGCAGGAAGGGGAACTGGGGTTGGAAGACAGTGAGGTGGAAGGAGCAGGAGACCCTCGGGAGAAATGTGTCGTTACCATCAAGACGCAGGCAGCGTGGAACTCAGCAGTGGCCACAGGACTGGGAAAGGTCAGTTTTCATTCCAATCCCGAAGACAGGCAATGCCAAAGAATGCTCAAACTACCGCACAATTGCACTCACCTCACAGGGTAGCAAACTAATCCTCAAAATTTTCTAAGCCAGGCTTCAATAGTACATGAATCGTGAACTTCCAGATGATCAAGCTGGATTTAGAAAAGGCAGAGGAATCAGAGATCAAATTGACAACATTGGTTGGATCATTGAAAAAGCAAAAGGGTTCCATAAAAACATCTACTTCTGCTTCATTGACTACACTAAAGCCTTTGACTGTGTGGATCACAACAAACTGTGAAAAATTCTTCAAGAGACCGGAATACCAGACCACCTGACCTGCCTCCTGAGAAATCTCTTTACAGGTCAAGACGCAACAGTTAGAACTAGACGTGGAACAACAGACTGGTTCCAAATCGGGAAAGGAGTATGTCAAGGCTGTATGTTGTCACCCTGCTTATTTAACTTATATGCAGAGTACATCATGAGAAACACTGGGCTGGAAGAAGCGCAAGCTGGAATCAAGATTGCCAGGAGAAATATCAATAACCTCAGATATGCAGATGACACCACCCTTATGGCAGAAAGTGAAGAACTAAAGAGCATCTTGATGAAAGTGAAAGAGGAGAGTGAAAAAGTTGGCTTAAAACTCAACATTCAGAAAACTTAAGATCATATTAACTGGTCCCATCACTTCATGGCAGATAGATGGGGAAACAACAGAAACAGTGACAGACTTTATTGTCTTGGGCTCCAAAATCACTGCAGACCATGACTGCAGCCATGAAATTAAAAGACACTTAGTCCTTGGAAGGAAAGCTATGACCAACCTAGACAGCGTATTAAAAAGCAGAGACATTACTTTGCCAACAAAGGTCCGTCTAGTCAAAGCTATGATTTTTCCAGTAGTCATGTATGGATGTGAGAGTTGGACCATAAAGAGAGCTGAGTGCCGAAGAATTGATGCTTTTGAACTGTGGTGTTGGAGAAGACTCTTGAGAGTCCCTTGGACTGCAAGGAGATCCAGCTAGTCTATCATAAGGGAAATCAGTCCTGAATATTCATTGGAAGGACTGATGCAGAAGCTGAAACTCCAGTACTTTGACCACCTGATACTGGGAAGGATTGAAGGTAGGAGGAGAAGGGGACGACAAAGGATGAGATGGTTGGATGGCATCACTGACTCTATGGATGTAGTTTGAGCAAGCTCCGGAAGTTGGTGACGGACAGGGAAGCCTGGCGTGTTGCAGTCCATGGGGTAGCAAAGAGTTGGACATGACTGAGCGACTGAGCTGAATAAATGATTAAAAATGGTAAAATATACCATGTGAAAAGCTTTCAGCTCTTGCTATGATTTTTTTTCTTGCTATGATTTTTATATTAAGATGTGTTTTCTATATTTCAAACCAGACCATTATTAAAAATGAAGCAAAAACCTGCTATCCTAATACTCATTTTTTTAAGTAAATGTAAGTCTTTTAAAAAGTGGCTCCTTCCCTAACTGAAGATAATAAGCAAACGTGTTAATATTCCTGTTAGTCTCTTCTTAGCTGATGACTAAATAAGTCGCCGCCACCCCCACCTTGGCCCTGTACTCACAGGCTCCACGCACAGCACCCTGACTCGCTGTGGCCAAACCTGGAAGCAGCCCAGGTGCCTTTCCGTGCTCCAGTGGTAAAGAACCACCTGCCACTGCAGGAGACGTAAGAAACGCAGGTTCGATCTCTGGGTGGGGAAGATCCCCTGGAGGAGGAAGTGGCAACCCACTGCAGTGCTCTTGCCTAGAGAATCCCATGGACGAGGAGCCTGGTAGGCTCCTGGTGGGCTGCAGTCCGGGGTCACAGAGTCAGACACGAGGGAAGCGACCTAGCACTCACCCACACAAGGAGCCTTGCGGCAGGTGAATGGGTGGCGGTGACTCCCACGGTGGTGGACTGTCGAGTCAGGAGGAGCCCTGAGGAGCCTGGGGCGCCTAGGGCCGGGCGTCAGGTGGGGTGCATTAGGGCACATGGCCCGATCACCGCAGAGCTTGGAGTAAGGCCGCACCAGCATGCTTCCTGATCCAGCTGCACTAGGTATGCTGGGTGTGTGTGCATGCACAGACACACACAAATACACAGATGTACACACACTCAGACACATGTGCACAGAGACACGGACACACACACACAGGAAGACGAGGAAAGGGGGTTCCTCCTCAAGGAGCTGGTGCTGGCTGCACCGTAAGAAGAAATATGAGTTCTCGCTGAGGATACCAGAGGCTGGACTCACTCTCCTGGCGCCCTCAGCTTCTTGTTCCAGAAGCACTTTGCAAGCACAGAATGCCCAGAGTATCCTTTAAAAAGAACACCACGGGCTAACATCCAGCTCCCTCTCTGGACGTGAGGTTAACAGGGTGTGTTCACCCGCTCTGGCACGCAGGCGGCCCCAAGGCCTGGTCTGTGCGCTGAGGGCAGCGGGCAGTGCCTGTCCTTGGGGACCGCACAGTGAGCATCCTCTTCAGCTTCTTCAGGGGTCAGACGGTCCCTCTGGTGTTGTTCCTCCTCCCGTCGGCCTGGTGGCCCTCCTTCCTGCGTCCCTCAGGGCAGCGAGGAGCAGCTGAGGCCGAGTCCTTGGGCCCCTGCGCCGCCTCAGCTGGGCTTCTGCGGGTCCAGGCCTGCCAGGGAGCTGCGTGTGGACACGCGGCCTGGATCGCAATGTGTCGGCGCAGCTCACTGATCGTGTTTCGTGTTGGCAGCAGAGAATTCTGTTAAACATTTTTAAAACCACTCACCATCACATGCAGACCTTAGATACAAATAAACGTATCCAGCACAGCTTGAAATTAAATGTTGACTGTGGTTTAATTTTCAAAAAATCATGAGATGGAGTTATCTTGCTAAACAGGAAGCAGCCTGATGGGTTTGGGGGCAGAGTGGGGCTTTCCAACAAGAGCTTTGCTCCTGGGATTCTATCAGTGGGTTACATTTTAAGGGTTTATCTTTGGCTCATCTTGAAGGATGTCTGTGGTTGGTGCCTCTGAGGCCTGCGCGTCGGAGCACGAAGCCCGTAGTGACCGTCCCCAAGGTGGCCATCCCTGGGATGACCAACCCCGTGGTGGCCGGCCCTGGGGTGGCCCTCTGGTGACCGTCCGTGTCTTACAGAGCTGCAAGAACTGGCGGGCTGCGGTGGACCTGTGCGGGCGGCTGCTCACGGCCCATGGCCAAGGATACGGCAAGAGTGGGCTGCCGACCAGCCACACGGCGGACTCCCTGCAGGTATGACCGCGTCCTCCCCGGGCCACCGTCACCTGAGGACAGCGAAGGCTTCAGTCGTTCAGGTGTGGGTAGTGGGGTTCTGAATGGCAGGAAAGCTCTCCAAGGAGAGGGGGCAGCTGCCCAAGTCCTCGAAGCCCGCCGCCCCAGACGCAGTCTCTCATGCTGACGTCCCCTGGAACCCCCTCCCCAGCCAGACCATCCTCCAGGTTCTGTGGGTCCCTTAACAGCCAGTGAGGGAAGGGGCTCCGAGGCCCCGGGGCATAGCATCCGCACTGTGCTCCCTGACCACGCCCGCAGCTTCAGCTGCCGTGGACCCAGCCCAGCTCTCTCCCCGGCTGCTCCGACAGCACTGCTGAGTCCTGCCGCCTGCCCCCCGCCCCGGGCGGCCTCCTCTCCCCACCTCCCCGACCCCGGGCCTAGCCTCTCGGTCCATCCCTTCTGGCGCGGTCTCTTTGAACCTCGTTTCTCCCATCAGCGGGACGAAGCTGACTCGGGTCACGCCCGCGGCCCCAGCAGTTGCCAGTGTCTCTGGTCCTGCCCTCTCCCTTGGCGGCCGTCATTTTCCAGAAGGGACCCTGCGTTCCGGCCACATGGAGCTGGCTGTGCCCCGCGCCCTGCTCCCATCGTGGTCCCTGCCTCCCGGTGGAGAGTCCAGGTCCTTCACCAATGCCCCCGCCTCCCTCCCCCGCTCGGTCCAACTGCCTCCCCTTCCACCACCTCCCCAACCCCAGCTGGACTCTGCTGTCCTTCAGGGAGGGAGCGTCTCTTTTTATATCCATTTTTATAAACTTATAGTTATGCAAATTGCTAAGAAAGAGCGTTAGTTTGTGAAGTGAGTGAAAGTTGCTCAGTCGTGTCTGACTCTTTGCGACCCCATGAACTGTACAGTCCATGGAATTCTCCAGGCCAGAATATTGGAGTGGGCAGCCTTTCGCTTCTCCGGGGCATCTTCCCGACCCAGAGGTCGAACCCAGTTCTCCCACATTTCAGGCGGATTCTTCACCAGCTGAGCCCCCAGGGAGTGTTAGTTTAGCGCTTGTTTAAATCTATTTGAAATCCAGCTCTGACACCGAGTTAATGGGCCTCGAGGGCTTCCCTGTCCAGTGGTCCCACACGCCCTGCAGCACAGCCTAAATAAAAGTGACGTGGAAACTCAGAGAGGCGCCTGCGCTTTTAGAGCAGCCAGCAGGGAGTGGGAGCCTCTGCGCCGCTCTGCGCGGGTGACCGCTGTGCGCCTCGTGTTCTGTGCTTGCAGCTCTGGTTTGTGCGGCTGGCGCTGCTGGTGAAGCTGGGCCTGTTCCAGAACGCCGAGGTGGAGCTGGAGCCGTTCGGCAGCCTGGACCAGCCGGACCTCTACTATGAGTACTACCCGCACGTGTACCCGGGGCGCAGGGGTAAGGCGCCCGCGGGCCCCGCTCGCCGAGGCTCAGCTTCTGCCCCGTGCTGCGTTTCCCTGCAGCTCAGCCCCGTCCCTGTGGGGGCGCGGGGGAGGCTGGGGCTGCGCTGCCCTAGTTCTCAGCGCTTTCTCCTTCATCACCGGCTCTCTCACGTACGGGCTGACGGGAGCCGGGCTGTGTTGCCCCGAGTTTCCCCAGACTTGGAGGAGGGTTTTCAGCGCGGGCGACTTTGACGCCTGTAGCCTCCCGGGCATTAAAATTCTGTCTCTTCCTTCTGACTGCGGGAACTTCGCCCTTGTGGAGGAGGAGGGGAGGCAGGCTTTCAAACCCGGAGCAGGGCAGCAGTCAGCTCGTGGAGGACGAGGGGAGGCAGGCTTTGAAGCCCGGAGCGGGGCAGGTGTCCGGCGGTCGCCCTGATGGAGGTGGCTCCGAGGGAGCGAGGCAGCCTGCCGGGCGGCATGCACTCAGGAGGGGCAGCAGGCCCATCCCACATGTGTGACACGGCCTGCCCCCCCGCAGCCCCCCAAGTCCAGCAGGTCTCCAGAAGACCAGGGGGGAGGGACCAAAGCCAGGAGCCCGTGAGCAGCATTCAGGGGTGCGGCCCCAGGCGGAGGGGACGGTCCTGGGCATTAGAGATGGGTGGGAGCCGTGCCCACCCGGCTTTGTTCGCCCATGATTCCTCCAGTGGGTCTGACAGTGTCTGCGCGGGGCAGGCAGGGCACCACCTCCTCTCTCTGTGACCCCCCACGCTCACCCCAGGGAGCCCCCACCTCCTCTCTCTGTGACCCCCCCACACTCACCCCAGGGAGCCCCCACCTCCTCTCTCTCTGACCCCCACACCCACACCAGGGAGCCCCCCTCTTCTCTGTGACCCTCCCACACTCTCACAGGGAGCTCCGCAGCCTGGGGCGCCGGCCGTAGCCTGCTCTGCTCCATAAGGCGCGTCATGCACGGAGCTCCGTGCGCATCCAGGGGCCCAGCGTCCCCTGGCCGTCGGGGGCCACGTCCCCACTGGGAAGTGAGGGCCAGAGCTTTCTCGTCCGCATTTCCAACCCTTCGCGGTCCGTCCCTCCCAGAAAGACAGTGGGCAGACTCTGCCCTCGTGAGGATCAGGCTCTGTCGCCTCTTCTTACAGGGAGAGACGCTCTGTGGAGAGGTAACGGGCACATTACATGGGAGGTTTGGGGTATTTCCGTTCAAAAAATTCTACCTGAAAGCTTTGATGATCAAGAGAGGGCTCTCCCGTGCTTCTGACAAGGAGCAGCTGTTTCCCTCCAGCGTAGGAAAAGGAAAAACGGTTTCTCGGCACCGTGTCCCAGCTCTGGCCGGGTCAGCCCCCGCCTGGCCTGCGCGCTGCCCCCCGGCCCCGGCCGCAGTGCCCCTGGGCCCCTGCAGGTTAGGAATGAGACGAGCGGGGCTTCACTTGTGGCCCAGTGTCTGAGACTCCAGGCTCCCAGGACAGGGCACACAGGTCAGTCCCTGCTTAGGGAGCTGGGTCCCACATGCTGCAGCTAAGACTTGGCACAGCTAAATAAGTAAACGTGTTCTTATTAAAAAACAATGATCGGAGATGGAAAAGCAGGTATTTCCAGGGTGGCCAGTGAAAGCGTCCAGCCCTGACCACGCCAAGCACTCGGCAGCCCCAGGGTCCTGGCCGATGATGCCAGGCAGGGTTGCTGGATGGGTCTTTTGGGCACTGCGGCCCTGCTCCCTCTGCTCAGGGACAGAGGTTCTCGGAGACGACACCCAGCTCCCATAAAGTGAGAACCCAGGCCGCCCTGCTCCGTCTGCTCAGGGACAGGGGTTCTCGGAGACGACACCCAGCCTCCATGAGGTGAGAACCCAGGCCGCCCTGCTCCCTCTGCTCGGGGACAGGGGTTCTCGGAGACGACACCCAGCCTCCCATGCAGTGAGAACCCAGGCCCTCAGGCCCAGGCGTGGCGCTGTGCGTCGCCCGCCTGGCCCCAGCTCCTGGGCTGTCAGCGTGCAGACTGTGCAGGGTCCCCATCCCAGCTGGAACTGCAGCGTGTTTTCTTGGGGATAAAGAGGAGCTGGTCGCCCTGCTCCATTAAGCAGCTAATTTAAGTTACGAAATAGACATAAATCATACATATATTTTAGCTAAAGTGTGCTAACATTCATCCATAATGGTATGCTCAATGTTTACCAATTTTTCTTTCCATTTTGTGGTATAACAAACATAAATGTGGGATTTTGATTCATTTGTTTCATTTTAGCTTGCAATACATAAGCAAAGCAGGTCATTAAACTGTGCTGTAAAAACGAAGCTATAATGATATAAAGAAATAACTTTTATGAATGAGCTTTAATATGTTTTATTTAAATATTGGGCATAGTTTTTACCCATTCAGAGTATTCATAACAAGTCATAATGAATCATGAGCTAGTATCGTGAAATTTCCCTTTTTCGTTTTCATCCAAGAAAGGAAGACTCTTGTGGTCTTCTGTATTTCGCTGATACTTCTAGCAATTTCATGGAGTTCCTTACAAGGGAGTGTGGTTTCCACACACTCAGGCTGCCTTTCAGTCGGTTGTTTGGATTCTCTCCTTGTTCTCCTGAAACAGTGATGACGGGTCACTGAATAGACCCAGGCCTGAGTGGACTGGGCCGGGGCCCACACGCCCCCTGGGAGCCTGGGGAACGCTTCCTGTGACACCCTCCTCGGCCCTGGTCCGCGTCCTCCCCCTGGATCGTGGCTTCTCCTCCTCGCTGTGGGTGCCCCCCTGCACCTCGGGGCCTGGAGGTGGCGTCAGAGGCTGCTCGCATCTGCGCTGTGCTCAGCCACGGTGTACAAGCCCCGTCTGGGGGCCGTGAGCAGAGCGCGCCTCCCCCGGGCCTGCATGTCCCCACACCCGACTCTGACGGCCCGAGTGCCCTGTTGCCCCTCCCACCCGTGTCTGCAAAGGTCAGCTGCCGCTGCTGTCTAGTCCTTGCCTGCGCTCCCTCCAAAATCACGCAGCTCACGTCTAGTTCCCAGGCTGGATGCAGACACTGTCAGCAGGTGAGCTCACGCGGTAGCGCAGTTAACAGCTCAGCACATGCCAGGTGACCCCTTTGTTTTCCATGAGAAGGCGGACCCGCCCCCCGGAGTGACCATCCTCTGGGCAGGTTGGGCTCCAGTTCGCCTTCCTCTGTGCCAGAACTCTTCTGAGTTGCACAAGTCAGGCGTATCTTCCTCAGTCTGAGGGGGCTGGTCCGGGGTCCTGCCACCTTTCACGTGGCTCACCCTTCCTGTGAACTCTGGCATCTTGCAGTCTTTTCCTAGAACAGGTGGTCAGAGATAACGGCCTCTTCGGTCGGGCTCCGTCTCCATCAGGACACCTGGGCGAAGCCGCCTCTACCCTCCTCCAGACGCGAGAAGTGGGAAGATACGTGCATGCCCACTGCCTGCATCAGACACAGCGCCCGAGACGCTGCCGGGGCGCCTGGCCCGTTCTGAACTCCCCGTCTGCCACAGGGCGTGGGGGCAGCACTGAACAACCCCTTAGTAATGAGTCATCTAGGACTCGCTCGGGCTGGCGCTGTTTCCAGCGTAGCCTGAAGTCGGGGTGTGTTTGTTGAGGGTTGTTTGGCCTTTTGCTCAGGCTGGCTCTTTGTTTCCAGCATCAGCATGGGTGAGAGATACTATGCCGTCAGCCTGGCACAGATGTCCCCGTCCTGTGTCCCCACATCGGAGCACAGAAAGCTGGGGCGCCAGGGAGACCAGGGAGCGTCCAGGGAAGCGAGCCCAGAGCAGCGGTCAGGCAGCGGGCCCTGCCGCCTGGACAGAGAGAGGCCCGCCCAGCTTTGCGGAGGCAAGCTGGGCCTGCTGACCGCAGAGTCTGTGCTCTGCTGGGCGTCCAGCAGGCACCATGCTGTCATGTCTGCCCCTTGGACCTCACAGCAGCGTGGCCGTGTCCAGCTCCCTGTCCTGTGCAGGTGCTGGAGCGCTGGAGGGGAGGCACCGCCTGCCCAGCACACGGGGCTAGTGGGAGGCTGGAGGCCCAGCCTGTCCACACCAGGAAGTCTTGCTCCTGCTGAGGGAGGCCGCCCACTGGGGTCAGGCTGACGTCCCCCATTGCCCAGCACGGGCTGTGATTCCTGGGGCACCTGCTCTGGCGCTGGCGGCCAAGTGGGCCTGCGGTCCTGCCAGGGACTCCAGAGCATGAGCGGTGTAGGAGCATTTGCACTTAGCGTTTCCTAAATGACTCACGGGAGCGCCCCTACAGTATTTATACCAACCTAGAAGTCGGCACCTCATGGCCACACAGGAGACCTTCCGGGAAGCCAGTCTCCTTCCAGATTCTGACACGCGCTCTGTTTCAAGGCGCGCGCTCCCTGCTGGGGAGACAGGCCCCTGGCTGGCGTGGAGCCGCGCGGGTCATGTTGCCAGACTCCGCTGGCGTGAAGGGTTTCACTGATTTCGGTGACTCTTCACACACAGCGAGGCTGGGTTTGCCGGACTGAGAGAGCCAACTTAGGTATTTTTGTTTGTATTTCTTTAAGACGAACGAACAAAAAGAAAGGCCTGACTTAGGTCAAAGCAGTGTCTGCCGTTTTATTGATGAGCCTGCAGCGTTTGCCTGGGGACCGTGGCCGCGTCCCCTCACGGTACGTCCAGCGCCTGCGCTTGTCCTTGGCACCAAGACCTGCTGAGTACGTGGCTCTCCAGCTAACCTGTTCAGGCCAGAAGTGACAGGCGGTCTATCTCCTGCTGCCCCTTTTCTTGTCCTGACTCTGAGCCGTGTGTTTTTCTAGGGAGGGGCATCTTTTCTCTCTGTATCTTGAGGCCGAGTGTCTCTTCCCTCCTGGGTTCTGTCCTTTGAGACGAGTAAGCTGCACCAGCCCAGCAGTGCCAAGTGAGAAGGGGGAAGCCGACGCCCCCCAGAACCTGGCTGTCTCGGGGCCCTCCAGGAAAGTCACGGGCAAGTGTAGCGTGGTTACGGGACACCATGCAGGCCCTCCCTTGCCCACCTTTCCTACTGTGATCTGAGTAGAGCCCCAACTCCAGACGCAGGTCACGGGCGCACACAAGGGCCACCGCTGTCCACCTCCTGGGGCTGCGGGAGTCTGGTCCAGGGCGGGTGGGCTCCGGTAGGAGGCTCGAGTCCATAGAAGACGATGCGTGGAGAGAAGAGAGGACAGCCTGAGGGCCCAGAGCAGACAGCGCTGCACGCACGGTCTCGGCTTCCCTCTTCTGCCTGCATTAGCTGGGACTTCCGGTACCACTTCAGTATAAGCGGCGAAAAGGGGACTTCCCTGCGTTACTCAGGATCTTAGAGGACAAGCGCGTGCTTTCTCACCGTTAATCAGGTCGCTGGCTGTAGGTTTTCATAGGTGTTCTTTATCAAACTGGGGAAGTTTCCCTCTGCTCTTCATTTGCTGAGAGTTTTCATCGTGAATGGATGTCACATTTTGTCAAATGCTTTCTCTGTTCCCCTGGATTCATCGTGTGATGTTTCTCGTTTCGGTTGTTTACTAATGTTCTGTAGAGCTCACCAGTGATACTGTCTGCACCCGGTGCCTTCTCCTTCAGAAAGTTATTCCTTATTGATTTAATTTCTCAAGTAGATATTGGCCTCTTCACAGAGGGTCCTTGAGTGTCCTGTTCTGGAGCAGGCAGTGGCCTCCACACGACTGGGGCATAGCTGTGGGCAGGGGGTGACGGCCAGCCCTCCTGTGGCAGTCGTCTGGAACACACGCTTTACCGAGAGAACCAGGACAGGTTTGAGAACCGGCATCACTGTGTACTTCGCCAAGAAAGGAAGGGTCTGCTCCCCCTGCTTCGGGAGCGTCCGCAGACTCCGGCTGTGCTCGGTGATGGCAGACAGACTGACGCCGCTCTGGCTCTGCTTCCAGGCTCCATGGTCCCCTTTTCCATGCGGATCCTGCACGCCGAGCTCCAGCAGTACCTGGGGAAGCCCCAGGAGGCCCTGGACCGGCTCCACAGGGTGAAGGCCGTCTGCAGCAAGGTAAGCCCCGCTCCGGCTGGGCCGCCCGCCCCCTCCTCCCGCCCTCACACCTCCCTGTTCCCACCCCCATCTCTGCATCCCCCTCCAGGAAGGCAGGTGGCCCAGTTCCTTGTGACCAGGCTACACGCTTCTTGCTGAAGCTGTTCTGGGGGATGGTGGGTGGGTTTTGGCCAAGCTTGTGGCCTGAAACCCTTCTTCCTAGTGCTGTCAGTAAATGAAAAGCAGAAGCGTTTCCTCTCATGTAGAACTGACACCCGTGAACGTGTGCTTGGGCTGCCGGCCGCTTGCGCATCCTGCAGAGGCTCCAAGCACCTGCTTCATGTCTGACAGGCGCTGGAGCCAGATTTAAAGAGAGAACAGCTGAAAATGTTCCAGCATCAAAGCAAATTACACTGCGTCATGGCGACTGTTGTGACAGCTGTCATTCATAATTCTGGCTCTGAAGGCAGATGAGGTTCAGCAGGGCATCCCGAGTTGTTCTCAGTTGTAAAGCAGCTGTGATGTGGCAGGCATCGGGCTGCATCAGCAGATCAGACTGCTCCACTGAGCGATGGGGCAGAGAGGTGGTGCTCGGGGTCCCCCGGCTCCAGCCCCCGTCCCACCCCCTGCAGGGTAGCTGAGGTGCAGTGCTCATGGCGGCGGGAGGGGGGGGCGCTTTCAGAGCTGTGAACGTGAGCAGTCAGGGGCGGCGACGTTTGACAGATTTGTAAAGTGGAGTTACTTGTGCCTGCCGAGCCCCTCCAGGCTCCAGCCTCTTGGTGGACGCTTCCGGAGCTCCTGGGTGGTCCTCCGGGTTCCCAGCAGGAAGCGGGGGCTGGTTCACCTTGTTGTTGAAGGTTCACACTCTGACCTGACAGGGAAGAGTGTGGTTTCAAAGTATGACACCCGCTGGGCACGCCCACAGGCCGTGGTTGGAGGGACTTTGGAGCCAGGCAGAATCTTCCTAGCAGGATGACTGGTCCTTGGAGGCCTTGAGCGCCTCGCGTGGGGAGGAGGAGTGTCCCCAGCCGCCTCCAGGCTGTCGTGGGGTCAGATGATGGATGGGGACCAGCGCTTGGCTCCTGGGAGTGCCTGATGCTCCTTCAGTGGTCTGGGGCGGCTCCAGGAAGCCTCTTCTCACTTTGAAAAGCCTCTTTTCCGGAAGTCTGGAAGAGACGGTAGGGCTGGGAAGCTCCCAGGACGCTCCGGGGGAATCCAAGCCCCGCCATGGACTCGGTGGGTCATTAGTGAGGCATCAGGGCCGGCACCCAGGGGTCTGAGGACTGGACACTTCATACGTAAACCCAGTCCTTAGACCGTCCCAACCCGCATCCCGTGAGAGGCCGGCGGTTTTCTCCTGGACAGAACCAACCACCAAGCAAGCGCCTGCCTCCTGGGCCCGGGCCTCCCTCCACTGCTGTCCGTGGTGCTGACGGCACCTACCCGGACGAGTGACCCTGCCCCGCCCAGGACGAGCCCCGCAGCTCTGGTCACGCGGCCCGCCCACGGGGTTGAGGACCGTCCCCCGGGCCCCACTTTGTCCTGAGTCCTCCCGCCTCACCTCCAGCCGCGTCTGCACTTTCAGAGCCACTGTTGCAGCTGCTTCCGGAACTGTGTCCTCTGGCCCGGAGCCCGGGTGGGGCTGACCTGCCCCCACCCACGCACACTTCCCGAGGACCTTCCAGCCTGGGCGCCCTGGGTGGTTCTGCGAGGCAGAGGCTCATGGCCTCTGACCTGCACCCAGGCCTGCGCCTGGTGGGCCCTTGAGCCGGGAGAGCCAGGCCCCCTCCTCTTCCTCGGTGCCTCCGCCCTCTCTGTGTTCCTGTCCCCACTCTGTGGCCCATCACGACTTCTCTTCCTGGTCAGTAGACGGCTAATAAATAGCTGAAAAGAGTGACCTGGTTTGGGCCAACTAGCTCGTCTTTGCCGCTGTTAGTTTCAAACTGCAGGTGTGTCCTGAGCGGTCACGGTAGGACAGGCCTTGTGTTCACGGCACGTCATCCTCCTCCTGGCATGAGGCACAGACCCTCGAGGCCAAGGAGGCCCAGTGGCCTGTCCCGGGCCAGTGAGAGCCCAGAGCAGCTGCTTTGCTGGCGGTGAGCTTCTCCTCTGGGGTGACCCGCAGAGCGAGGGTGTCTGCAGAGCAGGTGCCTGAAGCCCGTCATCACAGAACCGTGAGCTCTCCGCCCATCTCCAGTTAACACGCCTTTATTTTTCTCCCCAGCAAACAGTGTTCGTTGTTAACAGTTTTTTCTCCTCATCCTGCCCTCCATGAGAATCTATCCTTTGCCCAGATCACCAGGACAGCAACTTCCTTTCTTTCGGGGGAAACAGTCACAAAAGAAGTGATTCACGGTCATTAGCCAAAGAGTAAAAACAGCGTAAAGTGATAGATGCTCAGAACTTAGGTGATAGATTAACAAAGGGCCATAAACCTGGGTGTCCTGGAGGAGTGGGACTGACGTTTTTCCACAGAAGTGAATAATCATCCTCATGTGTCCCATACCTGAAGCTTCCAAGACAGAGGGGCGCACCCTCCGCACATCCGAGGTCCTTGGACGCTCTACGGGCGTCGTCAGCCCTAACCCTCCTCAAACCAGAAGCCCCCCCTCTGTCTGCCGCCCGCTCCGTGCGTCCCGAGCGGTGACCACTCGACTCGTGTCCCCGGGAGACGTTCCTCGGCAGAGAAACCTGCTGCTTCCGGGGTGTCTTAGGAGAGCGTCCAGAAGCAGACTCACTCCTGTCATCCTTGCATGTCCCACAGATCCTGGCCAACCTGGAACAGGGCCTGGCGGAGGATGGGACCATGAGCAGCATCGCGCAGGAGAACAGGCAAGGTCAGTGCCGCCCACGGGCCGGCCCAGGCTGCTCCGGGTCTCAGCTTCTGTCCATCTCACTCACCCTCCCGTGCGCGTCTCCTCGCTGCTTTCCTCCCGGAACGAGCCTCTTTTCTAGGAGGTTCTTAGCCCAGAGTTGCTCCTTGGTCCCGGCGGCAGGAGGAAGGTCCTCCCGGGGCCTGAGCTGCCCCGGCCTCCACCCTCCCACCCCGCGTCTCCCCCCGCTCCCCGCCAGCCCTCGGAGCCCGCGAGGCAGCTGGGTTAGGAACCAGTGTTCCACGTAAGAGGGTGGGACACCCAGGCCTCGGGCGGGCAGGCCGCTGTCCCCAGGGCGCCGGTGCTGACGCCCACGTGTGACTGTCCACCAGCCCTCCAGCAGGGAGCCCTGCCCATCTACAGCCCACTAGGGCGGCCCTGCTACACAGTGGCTCACCTCCTGGTCCAGTCCGGATCTGTCCACCCTGAAGCCGGGCAGCCATTGAGAGCGCAGCCCGGGGAATGGGCCGAGCGGCACAGGAAGCCGTGGCCAGGGCAGGGCCGCAGGGACGTGGTGCTCCGCCCGCCTCTGACGGGGACTCCGCCCGCCTCTGATGGGAGACTCCATCCACCTCTGACGGGG